GTTCTCTCTACATTTAGGAACAAGTTTATCAAAGCGTATAGATACATTCTGGTAAAAGGCTAGAAGGATAGTGTCTAGGTTGCTATTAGAAAAGAAGAGGTCCTAGTCTAAGCTTCTAATGAAGGAGTTAGATACGTCCACCTAGCTTTTCCGAAGTACATGAATGTTTTGCGCAGGGAAGAGCATTTTGACGAGTGGAGCTTGGTATCGAGGGAGCAAATTATGGTGTTATGGTCACTGCCTTGAAATGGGTGACTGATGTCTACTGTAGATAGGGTGATGTCTTTCAAGAAGTCTAAGTCGAGTATATTGTGATTTTAGGTGGGCCTTAAAATGTTTTGTGTAGGTGGATAATTGTAAATATGCCTTCTATTTCTCCTTACAGTAATAAGTATAAGGGTCTTGTGAGGCAATTATGTCTGCTGCTAACCCTCTTGTGTTGAGAACAGGGTAGGGTCCTCGCAATATTTCACTGCCTATTTGGGTGCAGTGACACTTAATGCCCAATAGTATGCATGCTAATAAAGGGAAACAGTGTTTTCCATACCTAATATGTAACTTGTGCCTATCCCGGTTAAGGTAATGACCTTCTTTCGCATAGGAACCCAAGTTTATACAATCGTTATCTCATAGCAATCAAATTCTTCCCCAGGATTAAACACAGGTCCACCATAAGGCTGCATACCATGCTGATAGCGCTAACGCTTCGTTTCTCAGAATGAAAATCAGCCTGTGCTGGGTACACGAAAACAGACAATAATGCTGAAATTATGCGACGAAGGCTAATAGCTTTTCATGAAACAAGCCAAATACAATAGTATGATATCATGAGAGTGGAAGTGTACGTTTAACTTTGGAACTTACTGTATTCCTTAATCCATTACACAGCTCACGTATGAGTATCAAGGGATGTTTTCTCGAACAAGTGCAGCAGCTTTAAAGCATTAAAGTACATTACGCAACCAATATTTTGTAAGTCAGACAAATTTTCAATATGCAGTTTCTTCTAGAAAATATAACCCCTATCGCTGAACCAACATAACAATGAACTTGAACTCTGCGATTGGCGAGGATATGCCATAAAGCCACTCTACGTATTCAGACGTTTCTTATCTGTTTAATACAAACTTACTGGGCCTTTACTGGGGCCGGTTTGTTTACTCCAGCGGAATATCTACCGGCATAGCCAACGGAACTTTTATCTTATTGCCTCACATTTTCTTCTGCACGTATAGTGGATACCTTTTATCATGGTAGTCTTGCGCATAAGACATACATTGTTCATTCAGAACAAATTCATATTTGTCACACATACTAAAAATTCATTCTACTAGCCAACAGGAACGTGTAAAATCTCGCACCAAAAGATCCACAAAATTGATGAGACGATATTCAGATGTTAGTCTCTGATTATACACCCTTTTCAACACCGCAACTGTTTAAAGACCTTCTGGACATATTACACACACATCACTTATCTTCAGTGCATTTTCTTGCTTTCATTTGCCGTTGTTTTCTCTAGAATTTTCGTCCTGTGTTTGCATCTAACAGTTTCGATTTCTTACATTATTTTATTCATTTCACTATGTCCAAAAATAATTTGGACATTCTCGTACATGAACCCATCGGTGTTCTCTCCTTCAGAGCATATGACTCTAAATACAGAAACCAAAACTCGTAGTTTACTAGGAAATAGCGCCACCTCAGCTGCTCGTTTCGCCTTTTGAATTCCTTACTCATTAGCTAAATCTGAGTGACCATAGCGTTCTGCGTTTTTGAGATCATCTCTGGAAACTGACATTTGTAGCACTATGGATTACTAATGGACTTCAAGGTTAATAAATATACATATTTAGTTAGTGAAAACTACAGCCTCGAAGCGCAAACAGGGCATGAAAAGATCACCAAAGACACTGGAGCTTCGGACTATTCACCCTTCCATCTGTCAATTCTGTGACGTTCATTATTGTAGCCAAAAAGTGGACAGACTGTGTTTGGAGGAACGGGTGGGTAGTAGCATGACGGTGTTAAGCCAGCCTGGCCACTACGTTACGGTGAATCAAGCCATAAAGCGGAGCGGTTACAACATACACCCGCCTGAATAATTGGCGATACAAGGCCAATTATTACAAATTTTAGCTAATGAAAAGGAGTGGAAAAGCCCGTAATCCTTGAAAGAGTGCCATTAGTTGGCTACCTAGACATTCACTTATGCAGCACCCATAAATCTAGCGGTTACTGTGATAGTCGTAGCTTGGCACACTAAGTTGCTAAATTGCATTCCAAGATCTTTCCATTCCTACCTCAGGGAGACCGAACTTAGGTGTGACGTTATATATCATGTCGAAACCACTGAACCACCAGCTTATCACATCCTAGACACTTTGATCTACTCTTAATTTCCACATCAAAAGTGACATTTAATGGCTTAAACAATGCTATAGGTCTTTTCCCGAGTTCGTTCACATAGAGTATACGAAGCTTCGGATAAACAGACGATATTCTGTTGATATTCGCCGACCCACAACCCTAAATTCTTCAAGCTCCTCGAAAAACCCTCTTCGTACCAGTGTCATTAGGAGAAATCCCTTTACCAATTATACTGGCTTATACCAGTCCATTCGGTTTTCTCTTAGGCACTTGAAAACCGTTTGGATTCAGTTGATCGACCAAGTTCACCATGGATTCCATTAACACCACACATACAAAGATGATATATCTACTTTTAATTCTCATAAGACCAAGAACTTAAATTATTTGAAATAAAGAGTAGTGAGTTATCCTGAGGAACAGAAATTCAGGGAAGAAATCTAGAAAAGTTTTGGGACGACTGACTGACAATTAAGTGATAAAAACTGCTTTTACATACAATATACTTGTGACCTCTCAAAATTAGACCATCTCACTGTATTACGGATTGGACTGAGTTTCTGTGATAATTTTTCACGCGCTTTTCCTTAGATGCGGATGTAAATATGATTTTGCCTTTAGTTTCAGTGTTCAGATGCAGAATTCGGATCCGAGATCGTTTTGGTGATAACCTACCACCTAATGCAATCTGTTTCTAGTTGTCGAAATGAGCCCTATTGTTAGTTGCTATGTTTTGTGGTTTTTTCCATGTCTTTTTACTACAATCTGTTGTCACAAATCACTAACCATCTGCCATTCTTTCTCAGCTTCCGTTGGATACGGATGATATTAGAACCTCCAGAGGGTCGGCATAAACGTCCTCAGGTATGCTCTTTCGAAGGACTTTGAGGTCATTCAGAAATGAATTGTTGACAGATGAAAGGATGGGCAAATGTACACATACTAGAGATGTAAAATGTGTCATTTTTACTTTTACCATCATGTATAAGAGAAACACATGTCCCGACTATGCTACTGAGAGGTTTTCAAACTTGAGTATCTAGTAAATAATTGAATTTTCTCCATAAAAACTGTAATCTCCAAACACAACCCAAGGAATATGCACTCCACCACTCCTAATACTTAAAGTGACGGGGTGTTGTTATTTGTCCCCATGGGGTTGGACTCTGAACGCTTTCATTGATTCGTTAGTCTAACCTCAAGAATTACTACAAGGTGCATGTTTGCGTAGCCTTTCTTTTGTGTTCTTAGAAGCAGTAGGGTTTTTTCGATCTTACATTTTCCTGTAAACTTTGCCTTTAATGACACCTCTTCTAGGAATTTTGTAAATGATGTTTGCTTGATTAACAGTTTCCTGCTGCATGTTTAATTTTCCGAAGGTTGCAGAGTAAAGCCATGGCTTATGATCTACTCGAAGAGTTGAACCTTAAATTAACAATTATAGACAGAATTACATAATTTCCCCGGCGTTTCTGCTGATTCTTAGGTAACTGTTGGTTTCATTGACCTGTGCAGTGCTCTGTTTTCGAAAATGGTTTGATCTCCAGGTAGTCAAATGACACTACTACCCATCTCCTTAAATAACTCCCATCTTGGTCTGGCGAAGGTCCGAATAAAGCTATACGCAGCTCAATATTGACTCATCTCGTCGATGCTGGACATCAATTCGACTTTAACTAAGCTTTTAAAGTTATTTATCGTATATCAACCAACCTCTCACATAGTCTACGCGTACAGCTTGTACATACAACAGAGGCAATCAGCGTTTATCTGGGTAAGCCAAATCTGTTACAGCCCCTTTCTTTACCATGACCAACCAAACAATGTATATCAAGTTTTTGAAAACGATGTCTCTCCTCCCTTTGTAACTGTTTTTTGACTTCATTATTCTTACAATTCTAGCTAGTCCTATCAAAGTCTTCGTATTTTACGTGATTCTTCTTAGTCATCACTATTTTACAAATTCCTCGATTATGTAATAACTCGTTATTTAATACTAACGAAGTGTTTTCAGAAATCCCCTGACCAAATAACCACCTCCACTAATCTATGTATAGTGGAGAAACTCCCAAGTGACTTATTTAACCTGGAGTCCGTGTTAGGTACTGAACATACTGTCAATATAGGAGATTTTAAGCGCGAAGGGCATCCTACATTTCCACTTCATGCGCAACCACTGACAGATATTTCGCAGTTTAGGTTATAGACAGATATTTTGCAATTCCACTTTGGATTGTATCCCGAATTACTTCAGTTATTATCCCTAAATTTTTGCATAGCCCCCGAACCAGCAACTTATGCAGAAACAAAGCATTTAGAACATTGTATAGGGGTGTGAAATGTTTTGAACTGTCAGACATTTCTGAGACTTATCCTTGTGTCTTAACTTCCTCTCTGTGGTTATCAGCTTCAGAGGATTGACATTTCTGAAAGGCCTGAAACTGATTCACGTAAACAATGTGCAATGATTATTACGCCACTCATCCCCAAGCTTCTGAGTTATGAACTACTACTTTAGGAGCAAGAAACAGAGCTTCAGTTTTAAGGAATCTTTCCTTACAACTGATAACCTTTACATCTAAGCCTGATTGAAAAGAAAAAATTGAACATAGAAAGGTGGAGCTTTTGTTTAACTGCTTCCTGACCTCCCGGTGTGTATTTTGGGGAAAAACGTCCTTGATGTGCTGATTGAACTGTGTACTAACATACTGTGGTTGTTGATGATAGTTCGAATGTTGTTTGTAAATGAATTAATAAACTATTGTTTGTTAATAATGGGCTTCAACTTTGCATCTGGTATTGATTATATGCGGCAGACGATGTATCGAACTGTAGTTCTTCGCTGTAACTGCGGTTTTTCGAAAGCTATGTGGACTTTAAATTCGTCTTCAATATCTAACAAGTAAGTGTAAATTTAAAGCCCCTAGCTTTTAAGGCATGGAAAGATTTTGATTTCGGGAGACACACTCAAAATATTTGACCTCAGACGTGGGGACGCTGGTATATATACGTGTTATGATGCCTTCTATGAATCTGAAGCATGCGTTTCAATTAGTCTGGGTGTAAATGGTAATTAAAGAGTCGACGTTTGTATTTTTACAGATCCTGAGCCTTATTATAAAGCGGTTCACGAAAATTCTGTTCCGGATTCAGAAGCAAATGAACAAGGTATTTACATTTGTTCCCACATACTCTTGATTTTGATAGACAGACCTTACTGGCATCCCAAGATGAAAAATACACCCGCCTTCTATGAGTTTGTTAAAGAACCGCTAAGGCTGGCGTGCTTTTTCTACATCATGAATAAATCCATTGTCCCTGTTGCAGAGTGGGGACTTCCTCGTGATCATGACGAGCTAAATGTGAAAGATTCATTGAAAAAGGTATTTGATTGGTTTTGAAAGGTACCCTCAAAATATTTTTCCGGCCTAATTATCCGGTCTGATAACATGTTACCTTATGAACCGTGTAAAAATTTTGCTATTATATCTATTTACAAACTTAAAGTAGCCTATTTTAATGTATTGTTTTTGTTTGAGTCATTTCGCTTTTGCCGTTATGCCATATAGTTTTATACAGGTAGTAGTATAAATTAGTGGGCCTTGTCCTCGGGCAAAGGAAGTCTGCGTAAGCAACCTGTCTCCGGTGGTATGTGGTGATTTAACCCTATGTATCCATCCGTTGACTGAAGCTGTTGTTTCAGTCATCACTCATGAGGTGGCATTTATAATCATCGCAAAGTAAATCCTTATTGGAAATGTTTTTATAGGTTATGATATTCATTGCTAGGTTTCTCCGATGTTTGTTGCTTTTTATTGTCATATTTATTAAGAGTCCGACGTCAGTTATGTATCATTTTCCCTTCTTCTGTGGAGTGTAGCAACTTGAACTCTTGTGCAGAGTTCTGCAATTACCTGTATATTCCCAGCGTGTGCTGACTTTTTAAGACGTCAGACTTAAAGTGATAAGCGCTTGTCGAAGATAAGTGCCCTGTTTCTGTAGGTTTAAGTATTTCTGATGGAATTTCCTGTTGGGTATGACGTTACAACAAACATTACTACACATACTTTCGATGGTGGGTGTAGTGCATACTTTGATCGAGCTACTCTTACAATTAAAAATGTTTTAAACGCCTAACAACATCAGGATAAGTTGAAGACCAGACAAGTGTCATCATAGCGTCATCGCATATTGGTATTTGATACGTTTAATTAAGTGTCGATGAGTAAAATGCTGTCAGTATTCACAAAGTATTGTGTAGTTTATTGTATATAGATGTGAGGTTTTTGGAACAGACTACTTCTGCACCTGATGTCAAGATGACATCATATATTTCTAGAACAAGTGATTAGCGTTGTGATTATAGCGCACTAGGAACACAAGCATAAGTTATACACATTTGCCTCTTGAAGAAAATATTAGCTACGTATGATTTATTTTGAACTATTTCGTAAATGGATTCTTTCTTTTCTAGCTAGCCTAAGGCAAATTTGTTGATTAAAACTGTTTGACTAACCTAACCACTATTCATGAAAGTAGGTGGTGTTAGTTTAGCCAGTCTAAAATAAAAGACTCTCCAACAGTTTTGAAAAGTTCACTTACACTAAATAGAATTCACTTTGTCTGCTTTTTCCTTTTAGCCCAGAACTATAGATTGCAATTCTATTGAGGAAACGCAACGCAACCTTTCGGGCACCTGCTATGTAATGGAAATAACAATTCACTCAATCAGTGGAACAGATACATTCGATTGCATTGTTCGAACGCCAAATAATAGAAACATAACCATTAGTAACTCATACACAGTACTCCACAAATTGACACACCTATTCGCATTTGGTTTAAGGTGAGATTTCATTTAAATGTTGGTTGCAAATGATGACTTTCTTAAGTAAATCTATACTAAACTGTGATCCTAAGAAGTAGACTTACATTTTCGACTTAAGTCTTAGTCTAACCAATGCAAGTGGACCTGTATCAGAATAATAGAATGAACTTTGATTCTAGGAACTTAAAGGATTTCCCAAACTTTCAATTTTAATGTGGCCCTTTTTACTAATGTTACGTATATCTTTTAAAGCAGTATTAACTTTGTAGGAATATATGAAAGACTTAGCCGTTCTGTTTGCGCTTGTTAAAATGTAGTGTAGGATGTTGAAACCGGAAAAAGTATTTTTAATATGTACGGGTAACGTCTTTTGTCTTGAAATACATTGTTAAACTGAAATAACCCCAATTCATCGATAGAATAAAACTGTATGGGGAGAATTGCATTTTATATCAGTAAGAACTTTTTCAGACACAATCAAGTTGTATTTGGAATTTGTAAATTATAAGAATATGCACTTTGCATTGTAAGCTGTTTTCTAGTTTGCTATAAGATCATCATGAGTTTTACTTCTCGAAAGTGGATTGTGTTTAAAATGCTGGCGGTATTTCTGCTCATTAAATATAAAAATAAATTTGTCTCTAATTTTGGAAGTTCAAGAACTTTTTCGATGCCTTACTGAATAGGTCCTAGTAAGATCACTTTCATTTTTGAACATTGTTAATTTATTTGTACCTTACACTTAATATAGGCTTTTGTGATTCAGATGTCAAAAGGAATTTCAATTTTGATGTGCTCCGCGTCTTCTATCATTGTGAAAAGTGTAGTATGGAATTCTGACTGACTGGTTTCAACGTAGAACTTTACAGCGATGTGCAGCAGTTCGGGTCACAACTCCATGTAGCAAACAAAGCATGAGAAGAAAGTAAAAAGAAATGCAAAATAGAGACAGTAAAAAGAGATATGAGGCAAAAAGAATAGTAGTAGTATGGAGTTCACGCATTTTTATCCAAATATCAGTCGACTAAGTTATCGGAAATAGTCCTGTCACGAAAATAATTTAGTGGCAAGCTTTTGATTTCCTGGTGGACGATATGGTTCCATCTTGGGAGGGTGAAAGAACCTGAGTGTCCTTGTGGCTGTAGATGTGCATACATGTTTTAGTAAGCACGTAATTTAGTTGTAGTGTTCCTTGAAAATTGCCTCATAATACCGAATCGCACTGCAATTTAAAGTCGTACTGCTTTTAGTGATCAAACTGCACACGTGGTGAATTTCAGCCAACATGCAGACCTTAGCAGTTGAGTTCTGTATTGTCAGGTGACTGACACATAAGGATGTATACTGCTACTAGCAAAAGGTATGAAAATTAATATTGCTTGGTCACTATAATAGTGATAAAATCGGAAGACTAAGAGATTTTAAACTGGAATCCTAACAACGTATTTTTGAGAGTTTCCTTAAAATCGTCCAACTCGAAATTGTTTGCGAAAAGGCTGATTTCTTTCATCGTCAAAAGACCATGTCGTTAACACGGTTTTCATAGTGGTCATTGCCCAGAATCAATCCGTTTCTCAGAATTTGTGCATATCTGCTTGTTACTATCTGCTGAAGTATTTGATTTTTTTTCCAAATTTTTTGCTTCTAGTGATACAGACTTTGATGACTTTGAGCCACCGAAATTTGAATTGATTGATGAATTACGTTTACCAAGTGAAACAAATTCAAGTAGTGTAGACTATGAAGACTCATATTCTAGTTTGTCAGACATGTCTATGGGAGAAAGCTCAGTAAACATAAGACAACACTTGAATTTATCAGCGCTTATGCTGTCTACTTATGATGAGTTCTCTTTTTATCCACTAAAAAGAATAGCTTGCTTATCAGAGGAAGTTACTTTAGTTTGTGAAATCCCAAGAACTTCAAGTCAGCTGGAAATCTGGTATTTTGGCAAATTGGGTGAACAGTCAAAACTCTTAAAAGTAATTACTTTCTTTGTTTTATGTTCCGCCATTTCTATTTTTCACATTTCGTTGTTAACACCTGTATCTGATATGATAAGTTTATCAACCTCATGCTAACACATAGCATTAAGACTCAATTGTCTGCTATCAACTCACGTGGATCAATTTGAAGTCAGCACAATGCTTAGAGAAACACCTCATATAATTTAAAGTTTGCCATTCCCATCATATATATATATATATATATATATATAGAGAGAGAGAGAGAGAGAGAGAGAGAGGGAGAGCAGCACAATTCAGGACGCAGCGTTTGTAATGTAAAATACGAGTAAGAAATTAAAATAAATACGAAATCAGTGTTCATAATTTACGATTCCTTGAATGGGGTTATTTATTCAAAATACTACGTATTGTTGAGGACGACAAAATTGTATGGACATCTTCCAAGAGACAAGTAATGAAAAAGTGTAGACTACATTTATTTTGAGTTAATTTCCTAGCATTGGTATTTGATTGTAATCCATAGTGCATTATCACGGATGGTATTTTCCTGGTTATATGCAACCTAAAATGAAATTCTTTATAGTAACATCAACTCGGGAAACGAACTGAATTTGTGCACCACCATCAGCCTAACGGGTAATAAAAAGCTCTTAACACTGTAGCCTTCAAATATGTTTTATCGTATCGGGAATGTATCATAACTATGGTTCAAATCCTTCATCAGTTGGTGATATAGGTTAGCGTCGTTTCAAAAATTAATTTTTAGGCGTTTATTTGAATTGACAGAGGTTAGAATTCATGAACCATTGGATTCTGTCTTATTGGCTGAATAGTCAACGAGCTGGCCTTGTAATCTTCAATGTCCTGAGTTCGGCCGTGGATGCCGACTGAAGAAGAACCCCGAGCTAGGACGAAACAGTTGTCTGATACTCCTTGGTTTTCAGTAGTTCCTTGACTAATATCAACCCGTGATCAAAGTTGAAAAGAATTTATTTGTAGGAATTAGGAATTATAACTGAGTCGATTCACTTTATCTCTTAAATTTGAAAGGATAACAACTAAGTGGAATTTTCTTCAGCTCGGATAGACTTGAAGAAAACTTTCATCTTGGTTCCACTCTAATTTCTCTAGTTACCACTAAGCAGTTGACGTATGATGTGATTTCTATGAATGTCAAATCATTTTATAATAATACACTTTAGGGTAATCACATTGCCAGTATTGCTCGAAACTTTTAATGTTTTCTTCTCTGGGCAATCATCATTCTAAGCTGCAGTATTTGTTATTATAATCAAATCAGGAAGAACGCCTCACAATTGTTGATTTTAGGTAAATTGATTGCATCATTATCAGGCTAATAATGTTAAAATTCAAGTATATTTTGTATTTCTTTACGTTCCCAGTGGGACATTGGGCTTCAAGCAAGAGCTGTGAAGTTTCAGTAACAGTGGTGTTTTTTTACGAGGTGGAGTTGCTAGCTCCATGCTCGATTTTTCCTCTACCGGGCTTGCTACCAGCTAAGCTAGGTTAAGGAGTCAGTCGGTCGGGGATCGAACCCCGGACCAATTTTTTAGGTTGACCAGTATTTTACCACTACTGAAACCATCGACGCACGTATAAAAAATTCATGTAAATATATTAAATTTAGAAGGAAATCTTCTAAATCTACATTTGCCTACATTATTATCTTATCTAGTAAATGTCTTTTATTTTTATTTTTTATTTATATCTACTAAAATAAGGATTCAAAAGTTTCTGATTCGTTCAACAATAACGACAAGAGATATGTACAATTTGATAACAGTATTACACTGAAAATAACAAACTTATCTTTATTGAATAGTGGAATGTACATATGCAAAAATGCTTTTCTTTATAAAAATATCAGTATAACAGTTATGGATTGTTCAAAATTAGGTGAGTACAATTTTTCATATAGTTATTTATTTTACAAGTGTTCATATTTATTCTTAGGTATTTTCACCCCTTTTTCAATCTGTACATGCATGTATAGTTTATTAAAATACATGAGTATAAATTTACATTGAATAAAATAGTGTTTATTAATTTATGGTTGGCCTACTAATTAATTCCCTTTGGTATACAATGTGAGAAGTAAGGCATATATTGTAAAATTCAGTGTGAACAGTCAAAGACTTAGACTTTAAAACATAAAGCCATTGTCTGAATGTATTGGTAAGTGTGAGAGGGTTTTGATGGCAGCGAAATATGCAGTTAAAATAACATAAGTGAATTGGGAAAACATCACAATAGCGCAAACACCTAAAATTCCTCGGGTCGGGTCTAAAATATTAAATATATGTGGTGACTTCAAATGTTATTTTATCCTTCAGTGGTCATTTTGTAACGAATACGCCACCAATTCACATAGTTATTCAGTTCTCCCTCTTATTACTATTATTATTACTTAATATAAAGTAATCTGTTTTTTTCGCACTTGGTGTTAGAAATCCCTGATCCCCTTGCATGCTTTTACCACTTCACACGCAATATCGGTAGCTATATACACATCAAAAGGATAGTGAGAAACATTTGGAAAGAAACGATGGGTACTGGGTTCAAGCCTCAGTGGGAACACTACACTCACTTGGGAATGCAGGTACATCCAGGTGACGAGTCTTAAGTGGGACAAAGTGCGCATCCTGGATTCCACTGCTAGTCATCATACATAAAATTATATGGAAAGAAGCTTAGAATATAAGTAAAGCAACTTCTTGGAATATGCCGTAGGTGATCACATTCCACATATGGACGAGTAAATAGATCGATCTGTAGCCGTTTAAAAAAACAATAACAGCGAGTCGATTTACCTTCACTTAGTGTGTACAAAAAAGGAAACAGTTTAGTGTTACCTTAGTATTTTAGTTACAGGATTTCATCATGAGCTGACATCAGTTAGAAGAGAACCATTGGAAAACCTGGGAGTATCGGACGGCAGCTGTTTCGCCCTATTCTAGGACTCTTCATCAACCGAGTACTAAATTTGTGATATCATTTCATCGCTGTTTAACCCAGCTATTACTTCAAATGTTGTTTTAGTATGACCAATTTTGTTTCTCTTAATTGCAATGTACAAAATATTACTTCAACAAACAGTTAAAACCTTGACGAATAGATGAGTCTCCAAAAAGCGGATGTATCAAATCTTATCATCAGTTCATATTAACACAGTTAACAATTTTGAACAGAATATTGTCATGGCCTCTAATCAACTTATGAGCAAAATACCTAAAATATGTTGAATTTCTGTATGATCCCGATGAATATTTTGGCATGGTGGAGCTGAAAAAATAAGGTCACAAACATGATCAGACATGTATATGGTTCTGAATTCAGGTTGTTTTTTTAAAAGATCACCTAAATGAGAGTTAAGGTTAGTCCACTCGCCTAATTGTAATCCTCAACTAGTTAGTGATCATACCTACAATACGGGTCCAATAAGTGTCTGTTCAACGCTCTTTTAGTGCAGTTTATTTATAGCTAGCTTATTGAAGATGATGTCCAATTTGTGTTTAGATCTGTTCGTCTGGATGCGGGGGCGTATGCACAAGTATACCATCAACCCGTTCCTTATGTGTTCACATACATCCTGAGTTAAGAGAATTGGGATTGTCTGTTCAAACAGGTTATATGCGCACACTCCATAGGGTGCGTAGGCTTTATAATTCTATATTGGAAATATTTTCAGTGTCCACTTCATATAACAATGGTAACGACTCGGTCCAAAAAGTAAGTCGTTCTAGGATAAAAATAATCACATACCTATGGTTTATTTTGTCCAACCTGTGTTAAGTAGTAGAATGGAGTAGATGAGTTTATTATCACTTAAAAGTGCACTAGATCATGCTGAGACGTGCTCTATATAGATTGATAGATCTAATAAACTGAATAACTAGATAGAATTTAATAGTGTGACATTGTTTAGTCTAAATGCATTATATTCATGTTCATGAGAAAATGTATGCATACACATATGTGAAAGAAAAGTAACTTTACTTTATATTTAAGCGTTATGTACAAATGTGTTATGAAGTTGTAATTTAATTTCTCCCACAAGACATTGTCATACCCTACATACCCTTACTTTATCATGACAAGTTTAAAATTCTGAAGTACGTCAAGACTACTTTGTATTAGTGAAATTTCAGCACATGAGTCAGCCTATATATTACCTGAGGGCCAAATGACATTACTTATTCTGCCTGAACTTTAGCAGTAAAGCTTCATTTTAGGCTGACTTATCTATCAAGTTGAACTTTGCGCTTGTGTTTAATACTGTGTGATAAATAGTTCACAATATTTACTGAGTAGCCTAGTTAAAAATTGTGGGTATCCGAATGACGTTTGACTGTTATGTAGTTTTCTGAGTGTAATCTATGAAATAATCCAATCGAGTGTCGTCAGTTAATAAAAGGACTAAAATTTTAAAATTCACTTTAGGGGAGTTAACTGACAGTTTATATCAAATGGTGAGCCGGTGAACGTATCGCAGATTTCCTTATCTCACATCTTAATTTAATAATACAGTTAAATACACATACTGGTCCAAATGTTGTCGTCAGGTGTTTTCAGAACACATCAACATTACATATATCGTGCATGTTTGGTGGGTTTTCTCCAGCACTGTAGTAGTAGTAGTAGTATTGTTGTAGTAGTTGACTCACCAGAATACTGGAAACAACAAACGGTTTTTTTATACTATTCAGTTGAACACGAAATGTAACTTATCTCAATTGAGATTGTACTGACAATCTTCATATTGTCAAGAGATTCTGTGGTACATCCGATCAAGTTGATTATTGACTGAACCAGATTACCGCATAGCATTAATCTTACAAAGACTGCTTAGGTAAGCATTCTTAAAAATAATGCATAGATGTCATCATAATGTGAAATGATTGTTTAGCAGTAGTATTTATCGAATTGTCTATCAGTTTCCAAGCAAAATATTGAATTAAGGTCTGACTGACTACTTGCAAGTAGTTAAATTATGTAAAATGTAGAAAATAGTTTAGACTAAGGTTATTTGCGTTGACCAAGTAATTCCATTGTATCGAGGCCAGTTATCCATGTTTTTCCTTCATATAGCATTATTATTATTATTCCCTTGGGTTCTTAAGGGAACATGGAACCACAGCATCACTCTGTTATCTGAAGTTCTCTCTAGCTGGCTCGTCGATTGATCATAATCTCACTCACGATCTCCTCCACGTCACCCTCGGATGCCCAAGCTGAGCGTTTGCCATTCGGTCAGGCGGGAGATTTCACTCAATGGTCTCCTAAGTGTATGTCCAGTCCACCTCTACTTACTTTTTAAGATTTGTTGGCTGATTCATTCTTGGTTGTCTCATTACCAAAGTTCCTTATTACTTATCCTTTCTGGCCTGCCATCTGATCTTCAGTGTTGAGGCAGTGAAGGCAGCTGTTGATGAAAGTCTGAAGCCTGTTGGCAATGCTTTTAGTGATGTACCACGTGTATGTAACATATAGAGAAAATAGCTTGACATGACTGTTGAAAATCCTGATCTTGTCCCATGTTCTGAATGCAGCAGATTTCTCTTCACTGATATTGAGAGTAATGAACTCCTGCCTTGCTTTTTTGATTCTGAGTGGCTTTAACATCCTCATCTGTGTTGCCCGTGGTTAAAATGATCAATTCTGAATATTAAGCCCTAAAAGTAACTTATTGTAAGGTAGCTATATTTGATTATACTCTGAAAGAATTATTGATAATTACTGGAAGATCATTATTGATATAAAGTGATATTTATAGTCATTGTTTGAATAAATAATTGAACTTCTTCAATACATTACAAAATATAAATTAATACTGACAGTAAGTGGGTTTGATAATAGTAGTAATTAGTGCTCTACTTCGATTTAGTTTTTTCGAAGGCCTATTATTAAGAAACTAACAATAGGAGTAAACACTATGGAAAGTGGAACTAGAAGAGAGAGAGGGAAAGGAACAGTTGATAATATAAAGTACATAGAATATTCATTTATTTATTTACAGTTTTCCTATCATGTCAGCGTAGGCACAGTCAACAGACCCTGTGTTTCCACACAGCACTTAGACTGTCGATCAGGGAAATTAGCGTTTCCGGTTTCATTGTACATCAAGGCTGATCATATGCGGCCCAACCTGATACTTTCGAATGTAGCAGAAACCTTCAAAGGTGTTCTGTGTATGTGCACATATTACCGGTAACATTTAAGCAAACTACTGAAAATTATTTGATATTAATGTTAGTAATGGAACATACTGCAACATACACACACATTAGGAAAGCATATTGCTCTGTAGCTTTCTGAATCAAAAATCGTTTTACACATATGCAAAGATGATTGAAATGAGGAACTTTTGAGGTGCTGAGGTTATCTCATATAGACTGTTCAACGTTGTATATGTATATATATGCTTGTTGAAGTACATTTATATAAAAACGAATTTCAATGTGATATAATACCAGTAAGAGGTATTCTTTTCATGATAGTTTAGAGATCCTTAGTTAATGTTATACTTTAGTTCCATCCCTCCCTGATAATTAGTTTTCAGACAATTCCTGATGTTAAGCAGTTAACAATTCAGGTAAATACAAGTAGTTTCTCTGCTATTTTATTCAATATTTTGTTCTTTTAGTCAACTACAATTATTAATCAATCTTTTTACCTGATGTTTTTATTCTTATAACAGACTTTTTATACAAATTTCTGCCGCCTATACTAATTTGGGTGATTCTGTTTGTTACTGTCTCAGTTATCCCCTTGTCTATGGTATTTTGTCTACGTGCTAAGCGTAAGTCAAAGCGAACAATTGTCTCTTTACCAATTGACTTCAAGGATAAACATGTAAAATCAAAACGTGTTGATATTATGCATAGAATTAATGTACTTTATGGTGATCCATCAAAAAGTCAATCACTTCTATTTCCTTCATCATCTTCATCTTCATCCTCATCGCCGTTGTCCACATCACCATTCGATTCATCTTCAACCTTTGCTACATCTCCATTATCCTGTACGACTTTCACTAATCTGAATACTAGTACTAGTACTACTAGTACTGCTACGAACACGACTATAAACAGTTGGATTATGGAGTCGTTAACACTTTTGTCACAGAAATTACTCCATCAACAAATAAAGTATTCATCGCATGAACAAAATATTATTTGTCACTTTCATATCTTATTAATGAATTGGTTACGTCACTACTTATTTTCTAACCCTAATGCATTTACACCAAGATCGTCATTCATTCTTGAAGAAGATGTTGTCGGTGAAGGCACTTATGGAATTGTATACAAAGGAAAATTATGTAATCCAAATAATGGGAATAATCGCACAACTGCTGTATCACACATTGATATTGCTATAAAAACACTAAAAAGTGAGTTTTTGTACTTTTCAGTTTAAATTGTTTGTCTGATTGTGATAGGTGATTTCTCTACATAACGTCATAAACGAACTCGAATTACTCAGGTGTTTCGCGTGTATTTCGGTTTGTGAGGGCGATTGTTACTTCCCGGCTGCCCACACCATGGAAGTTGGTTGCGTGACCACAGAGCCCAGGGGACAACTGCTTGAGGCCGGTCACACGCGGCCTGTTTTTGTTTGTTCTTTTTCATTTGGTGTGTCTCAGTAGCATATTTACCACTTCTGCCCTGTGACACGGCAGCAGGAAGCGTGGTCGTTGTTAATCCGGGCCCCGACCGATCCGGCATGATATTTTGTGATTTACTTTGAGTCATAGCATTGGGTTGGGTAACTGCTTTTTGTCTAACCGCTATCCAAACAACCTTTCTGGCATGGTAGGACCTCAAGCGACATAAGTCTCAGCCAGTATAGCTTGTTGAGTCATTGCGGTGTTCAAGCCCGACCACCACGTCAAGGTAGCAGCTTTCGGTCGGGGAATTATTCAGGTTATGCAGTTTTGATTAGCATAGTATAAACACGTTTGTAATGTCTTCCTTCATATGCAGATTTTCTATTGGTACAGTACAGTAATATCCATCCTGTGAATGGATATTGAACAGACGAAGCAGAATACCCTAACAGAGAGAATACTGAAATATATAGATAGCAGAAGGAGGCTCTTAGAGCTGTATGCATCGTAGCAAGTGTTTTTGTTTTTTGACAAACCATATATATGGCCATCGTAATCTATAACGATCTGTGTAAACGGTTGTTAACTATCAAATTAAAAGCTGGTGTAGAGCTTATTTCTTTTTTCACTTATTCGTTCGTCGATGTTTAAATGTTTCGATACATGTGTTATGGGATTGTAACTGTTAACTACTGAGATCTTAATGTCCCTTATAATTCAAATAATGGTTGCTTGTAAGTTGCTTATTAAACGTTTTTTAAGTTTCTAGGTAAGTGATGTAATGCTAGCAATTTTGCCCTGATATATAAAGTCATGATCATTTTAGTTTTTTTCTGGGTAACACAATAATTCTTTTATCCCTCAGGAACTGATTGAGATTCTGGTGTCTGTACTCATGGGGACAATGAGTCGGTTGAATTGGACTAAAATCATTAGTCGAGACGATATCTGAGCCAAGTGTCTACTTAAAACTCAACTTAACTAACTAAAAGACCAATGTGTTTAGATAGATCTCAACTCTGATGAAATTTACAACTCAGGTCTTCTTTATTGTTGATTTTCTCATTCTCTCTAGACACGTTTGTTTTAAGTTGTCACCAGCGTATTACTAGTTCCTAATTCTGTTAACTAACTACACTGTTCTAGATAGTCGTTTGTATTAGGACTCCACCATAGAAAATTTAAGCGTATGACGTGTAGATGTCAAGTTTTGGGTGGTATTTTATCTCCTTTTAGTCTAGCAAACTTAAACATTCATTCAATTGCGCATCTAAGTTGATTTTTATCCAAGGTGTTTTCTCATTTGATTTAAATCACTAAGTATCTGTAAGTTGGTAACTTAAGATTAAAGGTAAGCGTAGTTTAAATTTATTTATTATTCATGTGTTGAGAAAATGTACAAAGAGAACATGGTGGTTAACTTCTTGAAATTTACTAGATCACCTCTCTATCTCAACTTCATCGACTTTGAAAAGGCCTTCGACAGCATCGATCGAGAGGTGCTTTGGCAACTACTTCGCTACTACGGGGTGCCACCGACAATTATACGTCTCATCCAACAGCTGTACGATAATGCTGCATGCCAAATAATCCACAATGGGAAACTCACGGAACACTTCGAAGTGAGAACAGGAGTAAGACAAGGCTGCCTACTATCACCAATGATTTTCTTGATTGCAGTAGACTGGATAATGCGACAAACAGCGGGCAATGAGGAAACAGGCATAAAATGGATCCACACAAAAAACTTGGAGGATCTGGACTTCGCCGATGATAAGTGTCTGATTTCCCACAAACTGGAAGATATGCAAGCGAAAAGCAACAAGTTGGCAGAAGAAGCATCAAAGATAGGACTTCAGGTGAACATACAGAAAACAGAGGTAGTGAAGATTTCTGGACAAGAACAACAACAACAGACAACGATCAGCATAAATGGGAGGAACCTGAAAGAAACAACCTCTTTTACCTACCTGGGAAGCATCGTTTCAACTACAGGCGGACGGAACTGACGAGGATATCAAAGGAAGAATCGGAAAAGCAAGACAAGCTTTCATTTTTCTCAAGTCTGTGTGGAGGTCAACAGCACTCAGCATCAAAAATAACATCCGGATTTTCAACTCCAATGTGAAGTCAGTGCTACTATACGGATCAGAGACTTGCACTGCGCGTCATAAAGAGCATCTCAAACAAACTACAGACCTTCATTAACAGTTGTCTTCGCTCAATACTCAAGATCAGATGGCCGGCCAGAAAAGATCAGCAACAGGGATCTCTGGGAGCGAACCAACCATTGTGCAACAAATATGCAGGAAGAAATGGAAGTGGATTTGCCGTACTCTGAGGAAACCATTAACTGACATCACATGCCAGGCTATCACTCGAGTGGAACCCGAAAGGGAACGCGGCGAGTTGGTCGTCAATGTAAGGGTGGGACTTGGAGGAGGTCATGTGAAGAGGAGATGAAAGCGTGTGGGCAGACTTGGAGGCAGGTGAAGACTCTAGCAGAGAACCGAACGCAGTGGAGACGCACGGCTGAAGCCCTATGTTCCTCTGGGAATTGAAGGAAACAATAATAATAATACTGCTGCATTATCAAATAAATTATATATAAATATATCTAATAAGCAAATCAGTGTGGAATTAAATTCTCTTACAGTGTTCAAGGTTTACACATATATTTGAGAAATCTACAGGTTTTACTTATGTAACGTAGATATTAGCTCATCATATTCGTCTAATGAATTCAATCCCCAATAGAGAATTTCATATGAAATACCTTCTGATAGATTAGAAGGATTGATTTTATGGTTGTAAAGTTCAGATACAGGGAAAACTGTAAAAATAATTCCACTAGACCCCTAGTATCTTCCAAACATACGTTGAATATCTGTCATACAGTTACATTCATTCGCTTCAACTTCATATTTCTTGTCAATATAAAACTGATCCTAACATTCAAAATAACTAAATTGATTAAGTTATCACTGATTGGTTATCGACATTCTATGTTGTGAAGCCTATCTAATATCAAACTTGGATATTATTATATACTTCATTCTAACTATAAAAACTGGAAAAAAAGAGGTTTGTTTCAAAGTAGTGTTCATTATAAACCAACTTCAGTTAAAGATGATGCCATTTTAAGTCAGGTGAAAATACTAGATAGATGTTTCATAATACAGTTATTGAATTTTATCCTCAATGGCTTAATAGTAATATGCTCACATAAAGACTGGATGGTCCCTTAGCTTCGTTCTTACCAACGTCTTGGTGGACATTTTCACCACTAAACAGTTTCAGACGGTTACCTAGTGTTTTTTGGTTTTCAATGATTCCCTAGTTGATATTATAAGGAAAACTGTTATTTACCCGGCCATATATATCCACCAGCCAATTAACTGGAAGGAATTATTGGGAAAAGATCTTATATTTGATATTGACTAAGAAATTTACGATTTAAAAAATCTCCCAGAATTCAAAATTGTATAAGAATATCAACATTTATTTGGAGGTAATCAGTGGAAATCTGCTACAGTCAGCATAAGAAACAAGATCGGGATCTTCAGCACTAATGTCAAATCGGTGCTTCTGTAGGGTTCAGAGACTTGGCGCGTCAACAAAAGAATTTCCAACAGGCTTTATCAATAGCTGCCTTCGTTGCATCGACACCAAAGATTAAATGGCCGACCAGAAAGGATTAGTAACAACGAATTCTGGTAGCGAACCAGTCAACCGAGAACCTGTTTCCGAACAAATCTGCAGAAGCAAGTGGAGGTGGATTGGACATATACTGGGGAGACTGTTGACTGACATGGCGCGTAAGACAGACCCTTGAGTTGGGAAGTGAGGAATTGGGCGCGGGTCAGAGAAGAGATGGAAGAGATCTTGTGAGAAGATGAAAGTTTATGGGCATCCGTCAAGCCACCTAAAAAAACTGCAGAGAACAGAATGAATTGGAGATATGATGCTTGAAGCCCTCCATATGCTCCTCTCGGAACCCAGTAGAATAATAACAGTCATTATTATTTGTAAATATCAGTTAGTTATCATTAGATCTCTTGGAAATCAACGTTAACATTGCAAATGTAGTTGTATGTTAGCTTTAAAATGCTGATGTGCACATATTGAAATGAAAAGAATGGTGAATAAAGAAACATGCTCAAAATTTCCCATCATTTCCATTGTTTGCGCATTTTGTCTTTTTTTTTGACGAGTTATTGTGTAAGTGTGGGGGTTTTGAAAAAAGAAAGAAAACTCAATTATTATTGAGTTAATTAATAATTGTCTGTTGTGTATAGCGCTATAATGTATAGATAGACCGACTGTGGATAGATACTGAAAGACAATAATTTGATTGCTTAGGTGCATTTTTTTAACCCCCAGGTAAATTATATATTTTTTTAATCTTCTTACATCTGTCATCACAATCATATATATCTGGGTAAAAATATAAGCTGGTAGATTCTCATGGAAAATTTAATATTGTTCATTTTACTAAGTGTTTAAAGTAAACTTAAAAGTCACTGAATTATGATGAACTAGATCTCAAAAAAATTAGACTAATAATACTTGTACGTATGGTTCTCTTTGTGTTTTAAGATCCAATCATAAATTAACAATATTAATTAGTAGTTACTGTCTATTTCAGTTGATAGATGGAAACTGACTAACATGTCAACTCCATATGTCTCTTAGAGAGATAACTGCTTACTCCATTATTTGTCTTGTTAGAAAGTTAAATGTTATTGCCTTTTGATACTTCAATTAACTAATTTAATAATAAA